AGGGGAGGGGCCTGTGCATGGGGGGCCAGGGCACCTGGTAGGAGAAGTGGGGTCAAGTGTAGAGGGGAGGGGCTCCGTCCTGGAGGTGAGAGGTTAGTGCCTGGGGAGGGGGCGTGCACGGGGAAAGTATAACGTGCAGAGGGCCAGGGTTCAGCACAGTTGGATTAGTGCATCGGGGAGGGGATTGGTGGAGATTTATAAGGGGAGGGGCCTGTGCATGGGGGGCCAGGGCACCTGGTAGGAGAAGTGGGGTCAAGTGTAGAGGGGAGGGGCTCCGTCCTGGAGGTGAGAGGTTAGTGCCTGGGGAGGGGGCGTGCACGGGGAAAGTATAACGTGCAGAGGGCCAGGGTTCAGCACAGTTGGATTAGTGCATCGGGGAGGGGATTGGTGGAGATTTATACCCACCCAGGTTGTTTCACCCTCCAATGAACTGCAAGGCTGCTGCTAGGGGGCAAAGTGGGTGGCTGACGTTTTGCTCAGGGGTAACCTGGGCGGTCTTGCTCCCCCAGCCAGGAGGGTGCTTTCAAGGAGTAACAGACCAGGCGCAGAGGAGCGGAGTTGATGCATAAGAATGATCAGTGCGAATCCACTTTCCCTGCTTTCTGCTTAACTCCCTGTGGCATGAAGGGAAAATTCCTCCCCATCTCCACCCAGAGGGAATTCCTCCCTCTTCCTGAGCAACAGGGGACCTTGTTTGCAAAGACAGTCTCCTGTTCCCCAGAGATTGACTCCAGGGCCTGAAGGGAAGAGTTTATAGGCAGAACATCCCCAACCTCCCAATCAATTGTGCCTCTGAGGAATTGCGAAAAAGACATGAGAAAACAAGAATGCCTCTTCCCTGATTTGCCATTTCTTCAATCTTTTTAACAAGCTCCTGATTAAACATGGATATTGCACATAAACAGCAGGATGGGCAGTCAAAGCAAACTAAGTGACTTTAAAATTAACCACAGACTTTCCTTGCACTTTTACAGCTAGGGGCTTGCTCTTGCAGTTGCCTCTTGCTAAACTCCAGTATGAAAAGGACTTAGTCTGGCTACTGTGGGGGAGATTACCTTGTAGTTTGTTCTTATTCCCTTTTCTTCCAAACCCTGGGGCATCACCAGAGAGAATATTAAGTGACGCTAAACAGCACTGCAACTCACTTTGCTTTAAGGCTGAATCAGCTTTCTGAAAAGCAAACAAATTGGGGGTGGGGAAGGTTATTCAGAAAGGAAGTGGCCATGCCTGTCCAAGTGGAGGCAGGCGTGGATTAGGGACAGGAAAGGAAGTTGCTGGGATTTTGGATGAAATATTTGCCTTCCAAAACTACAGTGCCATGGTAAAGGTGTTCTAGACAATATGGCTGCATGTCAAAAGAGAGTCAGCCACTGAAGTCAGATTTACTTGATTGCAATAAAGAGAACGTACAGTCGAACAGGAATCTGCCAGTTTGGCAAATCTGAGGATACAGAGTAGGACTAAGGGAATGATAGATTCCATTGGAATGTACAAGAAAAGGCAGTAACCTGCAGTGCTGAAAAGAACTAATATTTTATTTTAAAATGGTTAGTTTAACAGAGGTTAAAAACGGTAAGGTGGGGAGTAGAGGAGGCTGCTGGGCACTTGCTTTGCAAATCACTTTGAAAATGTCTGCCTTTTCTCGTAAACTGCATTTCCTGTGCTTTAACCTATTTCACAGCCGGAGATCCAATCTGAGGAAGTAGTAGCAAAATTTCAGCTCCCACCCCGAGATGCACCGTGGGGACATGAACACTGACAGGGACCTCTGCAAACTGTTTTGAAAGTTCTTGACTTCTGTTGTGCATGTTTCTTAAGCCATCTAAATTATTACAACTTATCACCACAGTTTAGAGGATGATTAGTGACATTTGGAATTTTCATTCATAACATAAGTAAACTTCATTGGTATAGTTACAAATCAACAAGAGAGAACAGAAATGGAAAGGAGATCTGGGAACTCTTATATCCAAGAAGCAGGTCAACTCCAGCAGGGTCTTAACTGCAGTGGTTTATGTCTGTGGATCTGGATGTGGCTTTAGAGCCATTAGTTCTGATGGTCGATCATCTCCTTGAGGCAGGAAACAGCAGTCAGACACTCAGGCTACTGAAGCGATTTAGTTATACCAGCAGCCTTGAGTCACGTAGCAGAATGGGTGTGTCACTTCAGTATGGTTTTGCTCATTCCTTTGAAGAAATTCAATATTGCTCTTGATCCACATGCTGCTTTTCCTCAGTTGTGGAGGGTTCAGTCGCTTGTTCAACATGTGAAATACCTGGGGGAAGAGTGAGAGATGCCACAAGCTGCATTTTTGTTCTATACTAAGGGTCCTTAGCTCTTTGGGTATGAGCCACAAAGATACTTAGACTCCCAGGGGTGAAAGTAACTTAAATTTCTTACAGATACTGTCCTAAGGCAACCTGCCCCTCTTGGGAGGGCTCAGAGCAAAGAGTGGGGGAGGGGGTTGCGATGCAACTACCTGTGAGAAATGTAAGAATGGGGTGGAGTGCGGGGGGAGAGGGTTGGGGCTTGAGGGTGTAGGAGTCAGGATTTAGGTATGAGAGGAACTCAAGGCAGGGGTGTAGTCGGGGAGAGGTGCAGGAGTCAGGGCCGGGGGTTGGGAGTCTGGGGGAGAGGCTCAAGACAGGGAGCTGGGGTGCATGTATAGGAGAAAGGGGG